GGCTGAGTCAAATATTTCCCCATATGATTGAGGGCCCATCTTTGAAATCTTTCGACCAACTACAGGTGGAATTTTCTCTCCTACATAATTGTTATTATAAATATTTGCGATTACACCATGCAGTCAATATACAGGGGAGGCATTCCGCCATAACGCTTGGGCGAATCTCAATTCCTTCTATCCTGTCTGAGTTGGACAAGAAAGGTATTATTTATCACATCTATTCACATCTTGCAGTCATACAGGCTTCAGACCTTCTGCCCTGTAGAGGGAAGTGGGAGAGGGAGCTTAGGCCGATTGATGGAGACAGATGGGAACAGATACTAACGGCCTGTCCTATGATGTCCATATCAGCTGCCCAAAAATTGTCAAACCTTGCTATCCTCCATTGCACCTATAGAATGCCTGGACAGCTCTATGCCCAGGGTAGGCACGACTATCCCTTGTGTTCTAAATTCCAAGCCCATTCAGGGGTCTTAATTCATATGCTATGGAAATGCCTTTAACAGGTGCGATTTTGGGGATGTCATCATGCTTATCAATCAAATATATAGTATGATGTGCAACTCTTATAACTTGCCTACTTGGAGATCTCGATGAGGAATCATACACTCCTACTACCTACATCGAACTCAATAGACTGCTTCATTGAGCCAGAAAATTATTAGCACGCTTTTGGTTGTCTTACCATCCTCCTACTTGCAAGCAATGGATTCAGCAAGTCAACACAATTCTCATACGGAATAAAAATAGTTATCAACACATAAATTCCCTTAAAAGAAATCTAGGAATATATGGCAATGTTGGCTAGATACCCCTAGGGTGGCCCCTCCGCAACGTATGCTTATTAGAATACTTCAATTTTTAATGGTTATTGTCCTTTTGGGCCTTTTGCCCCACCCTGCATTACGTGTGATGATGGTAGTGTCTATGCATAGTGAAAATATTTGTAAGTGCCTGTTATACACCATTTGAGTTCTTTTCTAAAACTCCATTATGTATTTTATGTGTACAACTCACTCCAAGGGGTTATTGTCTTGTTGGTTTTCTTGTTTTTAATTTTTCGTTTTCTGAAGGCTGTAAAAGTATACTGGCTGCTATAATGTATAGAAGGGAAGAGAGGAAGATCCTCCCATTATTTGCTGTTTTGCAAACTACCGCTTAAAAGAGGAAATTTCACATGGAGCCAGAGAACAAGACAAATTTATGTTCAATGGGTCAGAGGTAAAAGTGTTCCAAGATCTCTCTCCATTCACTATGCAACACAGAAGAGCACTTACCTGCTTCAGGTTCTCTGAGATCGACGCATAAATGGCGCTTTCCTTATGGCCTCACAGCCACACAGCAGGGAAGTTCTTACAGTGTTTACACTCCGGAGGACCTTCCTCAATTGTTTGATATCTTGTACATCCCTCTGGTACCCCTTCCTGATTGGTACCAGAATTTTAAGCTGTGGAAAAAAAAATCTCTTCAGCCATATGATGAGCGAAACCCCACGTTGCAAAGGCTCTCTAAATCTATATCGCCGCATTCGTCCTGGCGATGCATCAAGTTAAATTTGGCTTAGTATGGGTGACCTCTCCTTGCCGAAACATTGGATTTCCATCTTTGAGATCACCATACTGAGATTAACATGAGCTCATTGTGCTTACTCACCTACCCCACAAACTGATGTCAGCCACACTCAGGGATTTGCTTGACTGGACCCCGTGAGTATATTTGAACAGAATGTATGAAAAGGGTGGACTCATTGGATTTGTCATATAATGTGTTTTTTATACATAACATAGCTTACTGCTTTTACTTTGAGTGGCTACTCTTCAACTGCCTTAACGTATATAATCTGGGGACGCTCTTGCTTGGGTGGGGGGGAGGGTTCGTACACCAGAAGATAGGAATGGTCTGATTATTGTCATTATACTTTGTGTTTATTGTACTACGGTAAATTTTGCTCCTGGCCGTCCCATCCTGCTTCAGTTGTCTACCTGATAATAGGCAGAGCTGGATATTAATTTCATCTCTATGTCATGTAACAAGGCAGCTTATTACCCAGTTGTGATATATCCCTGTTGATTCTTTTACTTTTCTTCTCCTTGGTTACCCTCGCCCCCCCCCCCCCCCCCCCATTGCCCCCTCCCTTTCCTTTTTTTTTCCTTTAATTGGTCTCCCTTAAGGGTTATTCCTCATAGGCATGACTCAGAGGCCATTTTTGAGTGGAGAAAGAAGGATTTCCTTCTTTCTCTGGGGACTCCCTAAAGATCTAGAGCTTTTTGTGACCTGGTTGACCCTTAATGATGCACCAGCTTGATCTTTGTTTCATATTGCTATTGGTCAGCTCATTAGATATAACCTCTCATGAAGAGCTATCTTGAATGTTAGGTCCGGGTTCTGGAAGTGCCTCTCCCCGGCCTATAGTAGGCTTTAATATTTCATACACTTTAACTGTATGTAAAGATATCCCTTTTTTTTTGTTCTTTGGATCAGAATCTTTATGTTACTATTTCTCCCTTACCGCATATCGACCGGCCGAACAGCTCTGATGTTATAATTTTACATGATACTCTACAGCAGACCGAGCAAGTTCCGTCTCGCACTCCAGACTTACTGTCCTCCACACAGCCTGGTGTTTGCCTAGCTGACTTTTGTTTGGTTTCAACTATGAACCTTGGGGACTTTATTTTAATGCTTTCAACCCGGGTTCAACCGAATTTGAACTTTTCTTTTACTTTTCTATTCTACCTGCTTATTCATTGATTTCCAACTTAGTCCGTTTTTCTTTTCCACTCCCTCCTCCTCTTTTTTCCCTTCTTATTCATCTCCTTTCTCTTCCTACTTCTCTCTTCCTCTCCCCTTCTCCCCCCCCCAACTTTTTTTTTCTCCCTCCTCTTTGCATTCTGTGAATTGAAATGGCTCCACCTGGGACATCATCCTCTGCCCAGAGCTTAAAAAATCTCTCTCAATGTAAGGGAATTGAACATCCTGGAGAAAAATGTCTATGATTCTACCTGAAATTTTCAAACATTACGCCCACATAGCCTTTCTCCAGGAGACACATTTTAAATTATCTTCAGTTCCCTAAACTCACAAACCACAAATACCCCCACCTCTACCATGCATCGGGCTCTGAGTTGAAAATGAGAGAAGTGGCGATCCTTCTTTCCAAATCTCTACCATTTGATTCATCAGAGCAGCTTGCTGATCCTGAAGGTCGTTACATCTTTATAAAGGGCTCAGTTTACAAATGGCCTATCACATTAGCAAAAATTTACTGCCCGAACACTAAGCAAGTTTCTTTTATGCGTGAGATTGTAGACGCTCTGATCTCCTTCTCTTCGGGAGTTCTAATTTTAGGAAGCAATTTAAATGTGCCCTTGAATCCCCTGTTTGATTTGTCTATGGGCACATCCACGATACCTTATAGAACCCTCATACAAATTAAACTCAAGTTGACCTCTCTTTCTTTACACAACACTTGGCAGACCCTTAACCCCACCTGTAAAGATTATACGTACTATTCTCATGTTCATACAAAATATTCGCTCATTGACTACCTTTTCTTATCACAAGTTGATCTTTTATACCTGACCAAAACCACCATCGAATGTCTTTACGTTTCAGATCACCATCCAATTACATTAACTCTACAGTTTCCGGAGAGGAGGAGGTTGAAGTGGCATCTGAATCAATCCCTCCTGAGCGACCCGGTACACTTGGTCAAGCTTCAGGAACATCATCAGGAGTTTTTCATCCTAAATGACACTCTGGATACCTCTGCAAAAAGCCAGTGGCTAACACATAAATGTGTTATTCGGGAACACTGTATCACACTTTCCACAAAGTTGAAAAAGGCCAGACAGGCCTCGTTAGACAGGCTAATAGCACAAATTTGCAACCTGGAAACTAGCCATAAATGTAGATAGGCCTTAGACACTTTGGAGGCCCTGTTCCAAGCCAGATAACTCCTTTTGGAGAAACTGGGCTGCCGCATACGCAGGAAATTTATCCTTCGCTCAAAACCTTTTTATGAGCACGCAAACAAAAATGGTCACTTCCTGGCCAAAGTGCTTCAAAAGGACAAAGCGGACTCAACTGTTCTATCGATTAGGGACCAGGCGGGTAAGAATCGCCCTTCCACAGTGGCTATTGCCTCACAATTTGTTCAGGATTATGAAAATCGATATAATTTACCATCATCTGAGGACACTTTGAGATTTCCAGCAGAGTGTAAAACTACAATACAGGAGTTCCTTCACAAATATGGTATGCCACCTTTGTCCCATACTTTGGCAAAGGCCATGGACAAACAGATTTCATCAGAGGAAGTTGTAAAAGCTCTTAAGGCCATGAAACAGGGGAAGAGTCTGGGCCCAGATGGCCTAACCATCCAGTATTGCAAAACGTTTCAGGATACGGTCCTCCCACACTTTTTTCGGGCATTCAATTCTTTGAAAGGTAATTTTTCACCTCCCAGGCAAGTTTTGGAGGCCCACATCACAGTTACCAAAACAGGGGAAAAACTCCACCGACCGACATCCCTCCTAAACGTGGATGTGAAGCTGTTCGCAAAAGTCCTGGCAAATCGCTTACTCTCTCATCTGAAATCATGGGTGTCTCTGGATCAGGTGGGATTCGTTCCAGGTAGAGGATGTGATAATACTATCAAGGCCTTAACCACCTTCCGCCCGCCATATAGTACAATGATGGGCGCAAGGTGGTTCTCTCATTCTGATTGGATGTCATATGACATCCTTCCATTCTCACCGCGCATGCGCAGCTCAGGGAGCGCGCAGCGCAACGATCGCCGGTGCGCTGTGTCCCTCAGACACAGCAGATCACGGAAAGAGCCGAAGATGTCAGCTCGGTCATGTGATCAGCTGTGTCCAATCACAGCTGATCACATGTAAACACGGAAATGCTGGTTATCGGCATTTCTCTCCTCTCGAGCTGTTACGCTGACAGCTCGAGAGGAGAGCCGGTAATTGGCTTTCCGCGGAGGGGACATGTACACTAATCATTAGGGCACTGATGATCAGTGTGGCCCCAGAAGTGCCATCTGTCAGTGTCCATCAGTGCCAGCAGTCAGTGCTCATCAGTGCCACGTGCCAGTGCCCATCAGTGCCACATATCAGTGCATACCAGTGCACATCAATGCCACATATCAGTCTGAGCTGCCATTCAATTTCACCCATCAGTGCCAGTCAGTGCCACCTATCAATGCCAATCAGTGCCACCTATCAGTGTCATGTATCAGTGCTGCCAATCAGTGATGCCTGTCAGTGCCCATCAGTGCAACCTACCAGTGTCTCCTCATCAGTGCCACCTATCAGTGTCCATCAGTGCAGCCTATCAGTGCCCATCACTGCAGCCTCATTAGCGCACATCAGTGAAGGAGAAAAATCACTTATTTACAAAATTGTATAACAAATTAAGAAAAAAACTTTTTTAAAAAACAATTTTCAGTGGTTTTTGGTTTGTTTAAGAAAAAATAAAAATCCCAGAGGTGATTAAATACCACCAAAAGAAAGCTCTATCTGTCTCAAAAAAATGATAAAACATTCATATGGGTACAGTGTTGCATGACCGCGCAATTGTCATTCAAAATGTGACAGTGCTGAAAGCTGGAAATTGGCCTGGGCAGGAAGGGGGTATAAGTGCCCTGTAGGCAAGTGGTTAAACATACACCTCTGGTTGACATCCTCTGGCTCTTCTGGGTTCTTTTTATCAATGGACGCCGAGAAGGCATTTGACAGGGTGGCCTGGGACTACATGGCATCAGTCTTGGCAAAACTAGGAATGGGGTCTGTAATGTGGGCCTTTATTGGCTCCTTATATTCCAACCCATCAGCTCTGATCAAAGTCAGTCGACACCTGTCTGACGCCTTTTCGATCACAAACAGAACAAGACACGGCTGCCCCTTATCCCCCATTATTTTTATTTTGACCCTTGAGCCCCTTTTGAGACAGATTTTGGCAGGCCCAGATATCACCAGCATATCAATTCCCTCTTGCGAATACAAACTTTCAGCATGTGAAGATGATATCCTCTTCTTCCTTTCACATCTTTTGACTACTCTTCCTGCCCTCTTAAAGATTCTGCAGAGGTACGAGTCAATATCCAATTTTAAATTAAACCCTACAAAATCCCATGCCCCTAATATCACACTCCTGAGAGAGGTAGTTACACACTGCCAGTGCAAGCTCCCCTTTACTTGGCAACCACATACCTAAGCATTCTTCTACCCTCCTCACTTTCAGATTTATTATCTCTTAACTTTCTTGCTCTCCTTTGTAAGATTGAACATGATATTGAACACTAGAATGGCCTCCATTTATCGTGGTTTGGTTGAGCTGCAGCAATAATGATGACCATACTTCCACGTTGCTTATACCTCACTCAGACTATCCCTATTTCTATCCCTCAAAAAATTTTTTGGGCTCTGAGAAGAATGTTCTCAGGCATTATTTGGAAGAGTAGTACCCCAAGGATGAGTATGGCATAATTATGCAGAAAGAGGTGAATTGTTTTGCTGGATCTCATGTCCTACCACAAGGCGTGCTTACCTACTAAAATGGTAGACTGGCACATACATGCACAGACAAAAGATTGGGTGGGACTGGAACAGGACTTTGCTGAGGAATTGCTAACATTCATATCTTGGTTGCCCGCATCAGCCACCACTAAACATCTTCCTGCACACCCTTTTGACAGGCCCAATACTTTCTTGCTTCCATTCAGTATGCAAAGGTCAGCAGGTGCCGGGCCCAGTGACCCCTCTTATAGCTAATCCAGTGTTCCCTTCAGGTTTGCAACCCTCTTTCCAAAGGACGCGCCTAGCAAACTCATACAACAGGGTGGGAGATTTCCATTTTAGGGGATCTATTCAAACACGGTCAGATTTGGCTAGCAAAGATTCTCCACCCCCTTTTCTGTGGTGGTCATACCTACAGATCAGACATTTTTTGTCTGCGTTATCATACCGTCTGGCATGCAGAAGACAACCCACATCTTTTGAGACCCTTTTGTCTGCCCCCAACAACATCTGATCTCCTTGATCTATGCTCAATTGACACAAGATTTTCCTGATACTACTAATTGACAGATACATAAATGGGAAGCAGAACTGGACACCTCGCTGTCTGAAGACCAATGGGCACAAGCTCTTCACACAATACATAAAGACCTGGTTAATGTGTCCATTGAAGAGCACAATTTCAAAGTTTTTTTTATCGCTGGTATCAATCCCCACCACCCCACCTCTTGAGAAAAATGTACCCTTCGGTTCCTGATCTCTGTTGGAGATACAATCAGGCAAAGAGATTATACAGAACTACAGCCTTTTTGGAAAGCCGTACATGACATCATCATGCAAGTTACTTCTTCTCCGCTAGACTACACCTCTCTTCAATACTTACTTTACTGCTCAATTTCCATGGGTCTGAAATATCACAAATACTTGCTATGCACATGGTATCAGCAGTACGTATGTGCATACCCCGATGATGGAAACAGACCCATGTCGCTTCTCTTAAAGAATGGTTTTTGAGAATTGACAAGATAGCTGAATTGGAGGAACTGATCGCCACAGCGCATGATAGATACTCAACTTATTATAACACTTGGGCCTGTTGAACCCATTTTAAACATACAGACACCTACCTGAATATGTTCGTTGATCATATACGGTCTGCATTAAACTAATTGGGGGTTTATGTTTCCTGGAGAGACGCAGCTTTGTTCCTGCCCCTATTGTTGGGGAGACATCTACTTGTGACGAGGCTTTTTAATGCTCTTTATATACTGGTCTTTAAACACAGTAGTGGTAGCCCTGTGCAGGATGCATAGCACCTCCTCTTTTCGAAGGGTGGACCTCCCACCCACCCTTTTTTTTTTTTGCTTTTTTCTTCTCTCTTCTTTTCCTCTCTTTCCCCTTTCTTTTCTTGCTCCTCCTTCATTTCCTTTTTCTGCATATCTTTAGTTGTTCTTACTTTTTTTGTTTGTCCTAGTTCAACCATATATGTAGTTGATAGAATCACCCTTCCTTTGCACCTGATACATCCTTTGCCATGGAGCTTTCTTCATTATCTCTAATATTACTATCAAGCTTTCATACACCTGGACATATATGTAAGATCTTAAATAAGCACTTTTGCGTCTACGCACATATAGGGTCCTGAGTTTGGGAAAACCTCTTCTCGTTGTGGATAGAGTCCCCCCTACATGAATCATAGCTAGACCCAGTGGTGTATTTAGGTTTTGTGCTGCACTAGGCAACACAAAAATCCCCCCCCCCGCAGAAAAAGCCTGACACTGACCAAGCCTTTCACTACCACTGCCCCCCATACACCAGCCACAATCCCCCATGGCGAGAGAGAGAAAGACACCCACCTTCACAGCTCCGTACATCCCCAGGAACGAGAGTCGGACTGTGACAACACCGTCATGAAACCCACAGCATCTCTTGAAACCCACCAGGTCCCCATGCCACGTGTGCCCCTTCTTCTGTCTCTTCTTCCAAGGAAGGGGCAGTGCTGCCCCCCCTGAAAAATTCCGCCCTAGGCAAATGCCTTGTTTGCCTTGTGGTAAATACACCCCTGGCTATACCTAAGAAACCAGGAGCATACTCGATTACGAGGCCTGTTAATTGCAGTCTTAGGCATGAACCAGTATATGATAAATGGCACTATTGCCTCTATCCAATAAAATGATGTTCACTGACTGCTATTGGGAACGCACTCTTCCCTGATATAGGCCAGCTCAAAATAGTCAGATTAAGAAATGGATGCCCTCATGAACCTGTCATCAGTGATAATGTCATGCTGTATCACCCATTTGTAACACTGATCAACCTTTCGAAGGACAGGATACATATACTGATACCTGTGTTGATTGTGTGCTCCCAGTGACTAGCCTTGGAGAGAGCCTTGAACCAGGATTTTTTTTTTTTTTTTTGTTATTGTCAGAGTATTACTAAGACCCTTAATATAACTACACATTTGCAATGTTGTATCAGGATGCTCAATGAGGGAACTCTTATTATTGTTCCATTTCATTATGATCTGTGAATGACTGTAGTACTATAGTTTTTCCACTATGTCTGTTTACCTGTACGTCATTGTTTATATATTCTTCCTAATGAAAATTATTTATGGAAAAAAAAAACACTGTTCTGCAGATTTTCAGACAGGATTGTAATGTATTATGATTGACAGAGTCCCTTGTCATAGGCAGGTAGCTTGATACAAGCTACCTGCACCTGCTGTCAGTAAACCTTTTAGTAGCATGCTTTTTGTATCACTTGTCATGATGGGGTTAAAATCAAAATTAGCCCTTTATAGCACAAAATCAGCAGATAATCCCTACTATGAGTAATTAATATGTATAGAGAAACAGTGCAAAGATAAATAAATAATAATTATATATATATATATATATATATATATATATATATATATATACACACACTCTGAAGTAGGATATACAGAGTATTTTAACTGGGAGACAGACATGAAGCTATATGGAGGGTGGGGGATATGAATAATTTATATAAAAGTAGTACTAAAGGCTCAACCTTTTTGCATGGATAGAATCATATTAAATTTAATGCACAATACTGGTAAATATTTAACTTAAATTTATTTGTAAAGCCTTATATTACCTCCAGTCTATCAGCCTCCAGCTTCTCTGGGTTCAGATGCTGGTCTTCCCTGCACAGAAGCCTTAATGTGATTGTAAACATTGCAATTTAAAAAAAAGAAAAAAAGAAAATGTCATACTTACCTGCTCTGTGTAATGGTTTTGCACAGACCAGCCCCTACCCCCCCTCTTCTGGGGTCCCCCGCTGGCTCTCCTGGCTCCTCCTGCCTTCAGAGGGCCTCCATAGCAAGCCGCAAAGTAAAGTATAGAGTGCCTCTGTAGCAAGGTAAAAAGACTTCTGCCTTTAGATACGCTTTACCTCCCCTGCCCAGGACTACATGTCCCATGAGGCATTGCTTCTCACACATTCACAAGTTCTCAGGTGGCTACTGGCATGTATGAAGTGTACTGAGCTGTATGTGTGGTGCACTGTGTTTCCCAATATGTAAACAAATAATGGAATCTGTATGCAAGTCAACTAACCGGCTGGCCAACTAATGAAAATAGTTGACAACTTTTTTTGCAATCTATTATAATTGACTATGTCAATTAGATGTTTTAGCCCTAGTGCAAATGCCTAAACTTGACTAGGGTCTGCCTCCTACAGTACCTGTACAGCAGGGCTCCAGTGTAACAGGAAGAAGAAGCAGGCTAGATGTGACTTTCTGACAGCCTGGACTTATAGGAAGCAGAAGTAGACTGAATAATGTGAACCTCCATACTTGCATCTAGTGGCAGAAAATAAGTTATGTGGGGGCAGCTCTGGACTGAAGGCAAATATTGCAGC